CTGGCGCTGGGGCTGGCTGCCGCTAACCCCAGTGCCCAGCGGCAGGGACTGGTGCTTGTCTTCCTTCAGGCAGCTGGCGTGTACTAGGGGACCTTTGTTTCAACGGTGTAAGTAGCAAACCTGAGTCTCGTAAGCAATCTTGAGGTTCGCTCAGGCGTCTCACAGGAGATGGATGAGTTGAAGGGAACGGGAGGGAACGGATGTATTGTGGAGAGGGTGATGAGGAGGAGGAGGGTGCAGCCAGCCCCGGGTTGTGTGTGCCCCACAGCTTTCCTCTCATGTGAGTCCTGGGCGGGTCCTGCACGGCGCTGAGAGCAGCCTCTGTACTTTGTGCGGCAGCTCCGGAGAGGACACTTGGAGAGTTCAGCGCTTTTGCCCTCAGACCCTGCAGAGAACCAGTAAGGGGAGGCTGCCTGCTCGCTAGGGTGGATTTTCAGCGGGCACAGAGGTGGCCTTCAGCAAACGGATTGAGATGACTGGGGAAGGAAGGCTGCTCAATTAAAAAGCTCTTGGCGTAATGAAGGACCAAAGAGCTTCCCTGAGCAATAATTTGTCTGTCCTGAGTTTACTGGTCGTGGTAAGCCATGACAAGGTCTCGCCCTGGACCTCTTTGTTCTTTCAGGGTAGTATCAGTGTAGTGATGCTCTCGGTGGTATCTTGGATATGTCTCGATGTGAGGGAAGATAAGGGGTGGGCTTTGTAGGTGGGTCTTGGTTCTGGAACTTATTCATGCACGTGAGTACTCTGAAGGTCTGCTGCTGAGTAACTGCGCCCTTTTCTTGCAATGTGCTTGTTTTTAACACTATAGCAAAGTGCAGGTTCTTGATTGATGTGTACAGAAAAAGACATTTGTGTAAATAAGCCGGAACTGGGAGGAGGTGTGGATGGCAGCAGAGTCAGAAGAATAATCCCAGAACTGGGACTGTGTTGCATCTGACCATTGCTTGTTCATCGTGCACAGAAGAAGAGGCTGCTTTTCTTCTATAATTCTTTATTGTAGGTACAGCTCCAGGATGTGGTAATATATGCATGGACTTATTTTGAAGTGTAATTCACTTCTAAACTGATAGTACATCTAGAAGAAAAACAGGAAAAGGAAACTACCGAGCAGATGTAGCTTAGAAATAAGTGGTAGAAAAGTAGTGAAATTGAAATTGAAGAAAAAAATAGTTTGCATGAACAGCAGCTACCAAGGTTTTCTGGATATAAGTAAATAGTCTTCCCTGGGTAAATTCTGGATCTTATATAAGGAATCTTCAGCTCAGAATTTGTGTGAAAATTTTATTTTAGTGGTCTGAGTTCTCTTCTTTAGCAGAATGTGCTGTTCTCCATCATATGTCTCTCTTATGTAGGAAAGTTAATTTTTATTACCCAGCAAGTGTTCAGGTGCAGTGTAGTTGCAGAAGACATACTTAAGTACTTGGAAAAAAAGGTAATGGTTGGCTCTTTAGAGCTTGGCAGTAAGCAAGTGCTTCTGCTGTCAGGTGTGATTCTTTTGTTTTGGAATGTTTGGCTAGAATTTTTGTTTTTTAAATCTAGGTGTGTAATTTTTCTTATCTTATTTGCTATATGGAGTGTACCACTTGCTTTTTGTAATGAGATTTATGTAAAACAGGTGCAGTTTTTAAACTGAGTTAAATCTGTTGAAATGCTCTTTTATTGTTAAAAAAACATGAGGTGTTTTTAACTAACACTTTACTCATGTTAACAAATATATCACCATGATACATATGGATTCCATTTAATGACAGATCCTTAGGGATCATTTTTGAGTATATAGGGAAGCATCTCATGTGGCTGCAGTATTGGAAAGTAAAATGTGTATCCTTGTATGAAGATCCTCAATTTGTGTCTTACATCCTAACTCCAGTTATCTCCTTCTCAGAGCCTACTAGTTCCCAAACAGGTAGAGGGTTATATGTCCTAAACTGCTGTATGGTTATCTGATGTGAGACCCCATGCTTTTGCCTTTTACATGTTGGGAAAGGGCTGGAGAAAATTCTGCAAAACCTTCTGGGGCTCTCTGGGTACTACAGTCTGGTTCACAAGAAGGACCTGAAATCTAAGAGGTCTTTTGCTCTGGATCCTGCTTCCATTAACACCATGGAGCAGTAATCTACAGCCAAGGAATGAAGCTGGCTGTGAAAACCACATGAAGGTATCTGGAGAGCCTTCTCTGTTTTTCCAAAGAGTGAGGGAAGAGCAGTATCCACTGAGCTCTTTTTGCAGTTTGGGTTCTACTAACAACTCCCACATGGTGCCACACTAAGATTAATTATATGCCTCAGGGGAAGTCCCCCAGTGCTGTCTAATAACCTGCTCTTCTGTCTCTGGACAAGTGCTGTAAGCTGACTGTGAAGCCAGGTGGTGATCTGTGTAGGAACAAGTGAGAACACCCGGTGACTTGCTGGCCCTATGGCAGTATCATCACTGCTCTGTGGGGAGATTTGGATTTGGTCCTCAAACGTTTCAGGACCCAGCTTTGGGGAAGTGGTTGTCCCCAAGAACTTCCCATGAAAGGCATCTCAGTGAATGGCAGCAGTTGAATGTGGGTCCTCTGTCCCCACTAGGGCTGGGAAGTCCCTGAGAGCTGTGAATGCTGAGAGGCTGCCCTGGGGAGCCGTGGATGCTTCCTCAGCATGGAGCACTGGCTTTTGGTTCTGCTGAGCTCCTGTGGGAAATGCTTTAAGCTCGCTGAGTCATAGGAGTCAGTGCCTGGTGTTACCATAGAAATCAGATCAGCTGCTAGGGGTGGGGAGTCCTTGTCCCTTGGCTCCACTGCTGCGTGGTTCCAGCATGAGCTCACGGTGCTAGGGAACCTGATTTCTTGCTCCTTGCCCTGTCAAGATCAGAGGAGGTGAGGCAGCTCTGGCAGCCCTCACCAGAGGGCAGGGTATAATTTTGCTTGGAACTTTGCATGGCTGCAGTGGTGGGACCCTGTGTGTCTGATGTGCTGTCTTGATGACCTGCTGCTTGTATATGTCATGCTCTTTGATATTTTGGGAAACATTGCATTTGATTAGCAATACTTTCCAATCCTTTGGGAGCCCCAGAGAGGTGAAAACTGGTTGCAAACTGGTGAGTAGCAGATAAGGGAGGACAGGAAGTAAATAACATTGGAATGATCTAAAGGGAGAGGAAGAACACTGAATATCCAATTTAAATTATCAATTCAATTCAATTATTTCAATTCAATATCCAATGTGCTCTAAAAATGCATCCCCAAGCTTGGTGCAAGTATAGACCTGAGCATGGATGTGACACCTTCCAGAACTTAATCTCTCACAGGTTTTGTCCTCTGTGTTGTCTGAGTAACTGTTTCATTGTTTTCTCTGGATGAATATACACATTCGAGCTCTAGGGATGGAAAGCGCAAAACATCATTGCCCCCTCTCCATTCTGCCAAAGGAAATAGCTTTACTGTGAATGTTATTTTCACACTAAGGTGTTTTGCCTCCTCAGATCATCTTTGAACCCTATGCTCTCCTCATAAAGCAAAATAAGCACAAGCATCTCTGTGAAACAGTGTTATAGAGACTCTTTCTGATGCAAGGTGCCACTTCGTTTTTCTACAGTTCCTCTTGGCTTGCTGCCTGCTGGCCGCTGAATTACTCTCCATGTAATCCAGACCTACATAGTTGTCCTTTTTAATGTTTCCTTGCTTACTTCCAGGAGACTGAATTCAGAGGATAACAGCTGCTTCCCAAGGATTGTCCCTGAATTGGTACTTTTAGGAGATCCTGTATGCTGTGCTAGCTCAGTCCCAGTTTTAATGTGTCTTCTGCTTCAGATGAGAGTGAGAAGTATTTGCAAACAACAGCAAATGCACTGAGCTGTCTGTTTCTTGGACCCTCTTAATTCTTTGGTCTCCTTATGGCATGCTTGGTGAAAAATATTCAGGCGGTATGGCTTTAAATGAAAGAGACGATTCCTTGCTGCTAGCTATTATGTAGGAGAAAGGATTTGTTGGTGATGCTGAAAGGAGATGAAGATTGTATGTGTATTGTTCTCCCTGTTTTATAGCTCAGCCTAAAAAATTCCTGTTTTGAGGAGATGTTCACTTCTCTGTTCAGATCCCAGCACACTGAAGCACCCACTTCAGTGCTGTTGAGAGCTCTGGTTCTCCATTATGGGGAGAAGAAGGGGGGGTGATTCTTGGGAAAGCTTCCAGCACTGGGCCAACTGTGGAAACAGCCGGGCTTTGTGCCAGCCATTTGGAGGGAGGGGGAGCTAAGAGCCATACAGGGAGTGTATCAGGCAGGGGCTGGTGCAGCCTGTCGCCTTCCGCAAAGTCCTGGTGCTGCTTCTGTTTCAGGAGAGAAAAACTGTTCTGTCCAGAGCTGTGGTCAAGCAGAGACTCCTTGAGAGGGTTGGTACAGCTCTTGATGGCATTTGATAGCAATTGGCATGAAAGAATCTGACATGTTGTGCCTCCAGCAAGGAGGAGGAGTTGCTGCTTGCATTAAGGGGGAGGGGAAACAATCTCTGGATAAGTAAAGATAAGGGAGTATTGGGGGGAAATCAGTGAGAAGAGGAAGTGCCTCTGCGGGGAGGTAGATTTGTGGTCTCTGTGTCTCACCTAACAATCTCTGCAGTCCATGTTCTAGACACTGCAAAATAAACTGTGATATTTGGGGACCATGGCTACAGACCCACTCTCGGAGCTTCAGGATGACCTGAACTTGGATGATACCAACCAGTCCCTCAGTCAGCTCAAATTGGCCTCCATAGATGATAAGAACTGGCCAGCAGATGAAGTCCCTGCTTTTCCCAAATCAGGTAAGTAGCCTGCTTGTTTGGGATCTGGGTTTTGGCCAAAAAGCAGTTGTTTGTCCTGCAGCCTTGTGGTTATATCTACATATTCAGAGAGCCCCAGATCAATTTAAAGCTTTATAGACACATTAAACTTGCACCACACCCACATGAATCAGCCTTAGTTTTGAATAGCCAGCTGCTGTAAATATGCTCTTCTCAGTCCTGTGCCTGGCTACATTTTGGTGCTGACAGTATAGATGTGCTGTAAATCTTTGAGTGTCATCCATTATGGTCTCTTGCAGGAGAGTTTGGCCTTCTGTACAGGAGTAGTCTCAAATTTCCATCTGGGAGGTGGGGCTGGAGACCTGAGTTGTTGCTCTGAAATCCTGTGCTATGAACAAAGAGGTCAGAAAAATTAGCTCAAGGATGTACAGGATGACCATCCATCATGGGGACTATGTTAAAATCCTCCTTTCCTAAAAAGCCATGGTGGTGTCCTCGGGTTTTGTCGTTGTAAATATTTGTGACATATCTGAATAATGGTTTCAGAGAGTGTACATTGAGGGACACATATGGCTCTCACAGGACTGACAGGAGTCTTCTGAAGTCATTGCTGCTCTTGTCCATTCAGAATTTCAAAAGTGGGTTTTCAAGGTGTACAGTTGCATACATTAGTCCCTCCCATGTAGTAGTGCCATTTTTTCTTATACCTTAATCTCTTTGTACTTGCCAATAATGTGCTCCAGATCCCTTCTCTGATTGCTTGTTTCTTGTACTTTGTGCAGATGACTCCAAAGGCTCCCCTGAGCCTGTCACTCACCTCCAGTGGGATGATCCCTACTATGATATTGCCAGGCACCACATTGTGGAAGTAGCAGGTAGGAACCTTTCTGTTTTCTCCTTTGATGTCTTTGCAGTTGGACTGAGGAAGGGCTTTTGTAATAGGTCTCTGGGGACATCTGCTGTTTGCCAAGCCCATGTGGCAATGACAGGTGGTGAAGAAGGGACACCAGACTTCTTGAATGTTTGTGATATGTGTGATTTTTCATTGACTTTAGCTAAACTTGGGTTACTTCTGGCTTACTTGGCTCTTGCTGCCTTGATTATATTATTATCAGGACTCAGTTGCTTTTGCTGAATTGTTTTAGCTATGACTCTTTACTACATCCCAAGCACAAAAGTGGTTTTTGCTTGATAATGTCACAGAAATTACCTAGTTAAGCAATACAGCTGTAAGGTCCTCAGCTGACTGGGTAATCCACTATAGGTGGCATCACTCATATCTGAATGACCAGAGCTGTCCAGAAATAACATGTACAGAAATCCGAAGTAGGGGGAATAGGCAAGGAAGGACCTGTTCATTCAGGGTCACAAGCATTTGGATTTTCTTTGTGTGTTCTTGTCCATATTATTTTATTTACACTAACCCTTGGTGATATACTGCTGGGACCTCCATAAGAAAGAGTTTTGGGAGTGTTCTCCAGGTTGCTGTGGTGAGCCTGAGTGAAGGGTAAGGCCAGTTTGTCTTGTGTTCCTTGTTCTTAAAAAAAAAAAAAAAAAAAAAAAAAGAAGCACTTCTTCAACTTGTTGTGACTTGATTCATACTTCCTGCTTGACTATGGCCACCTCCTACCCCTCCTACTGCCATCTCTCTGTACCTTGGTCCTTGCCCCACATGTGAATTTTCAAGGAATCTGGAGTCCTCCTGATTCAGGGTTGTTCTGCAGCAGAGTTTGACTACAACAGAAAGAGTCTCAGGCACTTACTTTGGTAAGAGTTGTCTTGATACCATTCTTTTCTGGGCAGTTTTCTCAAATGAGCTTTTTTTTTTCCTGATGTCTCATGTTCCATCTTTTGTAGAATAAAATTGTAATGGCAGGCTCAAAACATTTTTGTGTATTGTCTCCCACTCAGTTTGACAGGCCAGGTGTTTGATATTTGGGGCATCATGCCTTTATAGATTTGCCAGAAGTGTTTTCATTTACAAATGTGTTACGAAGCTTCTTTTCCATGGGGCTGGAGTTTCAGGACTGGGGTTTATAGAGGTCTGCACCCTGGTCTCTGGTGCTGAAACTGGAAAGGGATAGATGTGTTGACTCCACCATTTCAGTGGTAATAGTAAGAATATTTGGAATGCGAATGGTAGAGGTAACTGGTGTTTGAGGACTCTGGGAAATCATGAGTTAAAGTCATTTGCTTTAGACTAAGCTTCAAAGTGCTTAGCAGAGTTTAGATCAGAGACATTGATAAGATTGGAATGTCAGCCCAAACCAAGGATATAATTTGTCTGCTGCCTCCTGACATAAACACCACTCTTTCTTTGGGATTTCTGTTCCCATGGGATTGGGATTTCATGTTTTAAGGTAACGTGACTTTTCTTTGACAAGCTCTCTGAATGGAATATCCCTCCAGTGGAGATGTGTGTTAGCAGCTGTTGGAATGTAGCCATTTGACACGGTCTAGGGTAGCAAATGAAGAATTAGCCAGCTTCCTGAAAAGATTCCGGGATGGGATGGTGGCTGACTGGGAGCCATGCCTGCATTCTGAACTCTTCCTCGTTGTGGTTTAAATTTGTATTCCTAGTGAGCTCTGTGTCCCTGCAGTGTCTCTGTATAGTGCAGAAACAGCTCAGAGAAGCTTCTGTTCCTGGCTCTTGCTGGCCAATTTTCACCGGTAGTTGATGCGTCTGAAAGCATGTGATGGTCCCACACACGGCGTGTGGTGTGATGCCTTTCTTGGCACTGGGAGAGCTTGGAGCACAGCTCCAGATAGAGGATTTGTTGCCATATAGGTTTGAGACTTGCTGGTTTCTCATCTCCTGAAAGGAGAATTTATGAAGTTGACCAAAGGGGTCTGACTTGTAATCTTGGTTCCGGGGTGAAGTTGTTAATTTTTTTTTTGTCAGTAATTGAGAATTTTAACTGTTCAGAGCATCAGACAGAGTAGTGTTCTATGGATTGTTGTTGGAGGCAAACAATCTGGGAAAGTTTGGAAAAATCCTATTAGAGGTAGCCTGGAGAATAAAAATCTCTGGAGGATTAATATGAAAGTGCTCAGATCTGCCCCTGCTGACAAATTGTGTTTTTCAGCAGCTCCAGGTGCAATGAACACTGGCTATGCTGAGCCTGAAACAAAATTACCCTAGTTCTCTTGTAAATATTAGCAAATGGCAGCAGATTAAGGATATTTTTTTCCATTCTATCGATTCATTAGCTTTCTGTCCCATGTCCTTCCCTGTTCAGCACTTTAGAGCAGAAAGCTTGTGGCTAAGTCTGTTCCTGCCTGCCCTGAAATATGTTCTGGGATGATGCTATTTTGAGACAAAAGCAGAAGGCTGGTTCCCATCCTCGGGCTGAACTCCATGATCCCAGTGTTATCCTGTGTAGTCAGAAAAGTAATTGCTTCTTGCTGGATGTGCATGGTGTTAATAGCTTAATAAAAGCCTGGTTTTGATGACAAAAAGTTAGCACACTTGTTTTCTAGCTGACCTTAATTTCTGATTCAGTCCAAGGCATGCTGGATTTAAAAAGCCTGGCTATCTGACTTAAGAGGGTAAATAACTGAAAAACATTTTTCAGAATTTGTTAGGAAAATAAGTTTTTGGGGTTTGTTTTTCACTTAAAAATAGTGCAGCAGTTTCATGGAGACTCTCCTTGGTGCCCCATGCTCCTGTCTTTTCTGGGGACTGGGATCTTGTGGGAAGAGGCTGTCCATGGGAAAGGAGCAGGCATGTCATTGCTGTCCCATGTGGTGGTATGTTACACAAAAATGACAGCAAAAGGCATCCAGGCCACACTCCTGAGGGAGTACTCAGAACTGGAATATTGTTAGGAATCACAGTATTTTAGTTTAAGGAAACATTTTTTTGGTTCTGGGACTCAATGCTTTTCTGAAGAAAGATGTGGCGCTCTGCTGGTCTTTTCAGACTTGCCTTATAGTGTGTGTTTATGGAGTTTTTACACAGGCTCTGGAGAGGTCTCTGTGTGGTTTTGTTCTTCTTGACTCTGAGTACCTCTTTTTATGAGCACTGTAGCAGCAAAATTCTTCACACATGGCTGAGAGGAGGTTTGATTTCATTGCACAGTCCACTTCTGCAAAGTGTGTTTTTTTTCTTGCTCACGTCACAGCTTTTGGAGGAAACACAAGCTCCTGTTTGAGGACTGTTAAGGAACTATCCCAAGTTTCTGTTATGTTGAGAGTTTCTGTGTTCTCCTGCCAGTTCTTACATGGCAAAGGTGCTGCTTCCATTTTCTTGGGGGTTGAGGCAGACTAGATGTGACATAGTCTTGGCCTTGAATTTTAGCACAGGCTGAAATTCAAAACTAAAGCAGGAAGTTAATAGTCTAAAGGAGGTCTCTGGAGATGGAGTTCATGCTGGAAACCTGTGGCTGTGTGGGATGAGAAGGGCTCTTGTGAGCCCTGGCAAGGTGTTCCTTCCTCATTCTGCTGCCCAGTCTGAAATACTGGTCTCTTCTTTGTGGTCAATATACAAAACTATGGCTATGAGGATCATCAGCATTCCCATTTTACACAATAACCGTCCTGCTTTCTTTTGGGATAAGAAAACGGGGGCATAATATATATTGGCATATGGGTTTCTCACTGCCAGGGAAGGTAGAAGATAGTGTATCAGTGGCCAGGAAAGTGGCTGTCACTGTATACTCCGGCTACATAATCCCTGCCCAGCGATTTCAAAACTTTGTTGGAGCTCAAAGCATGTTTCTGCTAGTTTGTGTGGGAAATCTGCTGCCTCACATCATTAATTGTCCACCTGTGGGGCTGCCCTCACAGAAAAGCTGTAATGCCAATATGTGTAATTGAAGTGGGAAAACAAGGTGGAGAGCTATGATTATACCTTCTTTTGTTTTACTGGATTGAAGGTGTAATTTCAGCAGTAAATCTATTTTCATTGGTGAATCTGATACCAAACCTAACCAGCAAACATGGCTGCAGATGCCAAAGCTGTAACTAGTGCTGATGATTAGCTGTAGGTGTTGGTGATTGACATGGGGAGGTAAAATCAGTCTTGGAGCACCAGTAGCTGTTGTTTCTCTAGGTAGGCAAAGGTAGAAGTGGCAGACAAAACCTGTGTTGAAGGTGCATTTGGTGTCTAATGGACTCAGCAAAGGTCCATTAGCAAAGGGTAAAGAGGGTCCTTTTCCCTTCAGGCACGGTGCATTGTTACTGGTTCCATTAATACAGATCGCCTGCATTTCTGCTGCTTTTGGATGTCATTTCCGGCTTTTAACTTTTTTTGTTTATTTGTCTGTTTAAGAATATTTTGTATGATAAAAAATGATGAATTGCCTCTGTAGAATTGAGTCCATCCAAAGCAAGCCCAGCTTGTGCACCATATTTTGATATGCAAGGTCAAGGAAAGGGAGAGTATCTAAGGAATTTTAAGTTTCTAAGGGAGGCTAAGAGAATGGAGAATTTCTTCCTAGAGCCCTCCTCTGCAAAGGCTTCTGACTCAATTGGCCCATGTGGGTCTGTTGAGTATATAGCTGTGAGAGTGATGGAAAGGGGCTGGGTGTGATAATAAATGCCTTCATAAACTAGAGGAACCTTCTTTTTATTCTAATTGGCAGTTAATTTTTTTATTTGGAATCTACTAATCATAAAAAAAAGTTATGGGTGTGGGATGTGTTACTCATATGGTATGATACCATTCTCTGTACACTTCTGAAGTTGTTCAGAAGACTTCAGAATTAATTGCAATTAACCCTTTTAAAAGTGGCAGTACAGCAGTTGCTGTTTTGGTGGCAGAGAAAGTGTAACAATAAGGGCAAGAAATTTGATTATATGGAATTAGTTGCAAATTCAAGAAAGAGATTTGGGAATCAAGGGTTGCTGTTATTGCCTCTCATTGTTAGACAAGGCTGCTTTGGAGAGGAGCATGGGGGAAAGATGAAATGGAAGGAGGTTGAATGCTGCAAGACAGCCCAGTGGCAATCTGGCTAGGCTCTCAGACTTTACCCTCATGATTACTTTCTGGGAAAGGATGCAAAGCTTGGCTTGCTATAACTTTCTTTCTATTCCTCCAGACCAGGGTGCACTTGATGGGGCCCAACCAGGTAGGTAGATTTTTTGTGGCACTAACATTTGGTTCTGTAGATCATGGTATTCCTTTAGCATGACCATGGCCTGTAGCTGGACTGTCTCAGGGGAGCCCAAACTTTGCTCAGCCTTAGGCTGCACTGGCAATTTTTCAGGAGTCCAAAGGCTGCACAAAATTGTTGTCTGAGGGCTGCACCTCTGCCTCAGGCACAGCAGAATCATCTGAGCCAAATTTGGCGAGTGGGCTTTACTTTGGGCACTTCAGGGCTCATGGGTCTCTGTAAATCCTGTTCCTGTCCTGTCATGGTGGTGGCCTGCTTGGACCAGTTCAGTTTGAACTCCAGTTTATCCTGTTATGATATGTGCTTTGGAAGTTCATTTTAGGGTTGCTTCCTATTCTTTCACGTGATCACTGCACTCGCCAAGCAGCTGGTACTTAAACTGGATTCTCCATCTGAAAGCAACCGTTATCTATTTCTTCTCCATTTGGCTGCAGAGATGTTGTGTTCTGGTAACTTGTTTGCCCAAAGCTGTGCTTGACTGCCCTGGGCTTGCTGAGCATTTGTTAACACTCTCCGGACTTCAGTCCTAAGTCTCAGTAATTTGGCTGCTGGTGCTTTCATGCTTCTCAATGTACATGAAAACTTCTATTGGTGTGAAATTCTTATTGCTAAGACCTTCACACGATTCATGGAAATGCTGATTCTCATTTCCTCATTATGTGGAGTCTTCATCCCCTTTTCTATGCTCTCAGACATCCTCCCAGTCTGCATTCTTTAATCCAACCCTCTAGTATATTTTGCATCAGTTAAAGCTATATTCATATATATATATATATATAGCTTTATAAGGCTTTCTGGTTCTGACAGTGTTTGGATATTGGGAATATCGAGATGGACAAAATCGTGTATTCAAATACTTCTGCTTTGAGCTCCTTACCTTCTTTTCCTTCAGGGCTAAATCCTCTCTGAAATTCAATAGGCAACTAAAATCTACTATATTCAAGTGTTTCCCAGCTGTGCCATAAGCTTAGCACAGCTAATTGGAGTGAAATTACATTTGACAGGTTTTTTACTGACAGTGGCTCTGATTAAACATGCTAAGCTTTGTGAAATTTGTGTAGTAATGTTCCAGCATTCTGTAGTGGTGCCCGTTCCTTGACCCTGGACTCTGTTAACTTTGTTATTTTAGCAGTAACACTAGCTTTTGGTGGCAAGTTTTATCCATCTGCATTCTCTCAGTATCAAAGTACTAGGATACTCCCATTTGAATCTTTTAACAAAGTGGGCACTTAACTGAAGCGACCTGATGAAGATAGGAATGAACAGTCTCTAGACTGCAATTAGGCTGCCTCAAACCATGACATAAATGCTAAAGGATATATTTCAGCATATGTAATTAATATATTTCTATTTACCCAGAAATAATAAATAACAGGATTTGGGTACCAAGGATGTATTTTCCATGTTAGCTGTGCAGATTCATTTAATGCACTGTCTTGGCTCATTATTGCCATCTTGATGTGAATTTCTGCTGTGATACATTGATATTGCTGCAGGTTTCAATCTGAAACATTTACGTCAGCATTTCAATTTCAGCCCTTTTAGTAGTGTGGCCTTGCACTCATGGCTTGGAAATACAGCAGTGATTTTCCTTTTCCCTTGTCTTAGAAGATGGAAATGCTGCTTTTCAAGCAAGAGGAAAAATGCAGTTCAGGCTTTAAAAGTGCCATAACAATGTTCTGGAGCTTATGTCTATCAGTGCTACAAGTTCACATCTCTTTAGATTAGCAGCTGTCTTGACTGGAGAGGCTTTAGATATTGGCTGGTGTCTTGCTCTTTGTTGTTAAAAGCAAAATAATCTGAATCACATCCTTCAGGTCCAGTCTTCATTGAAAATGTATTTTATATATGAACTTACAAAGCTGGGGTGCTCTGTGAGTACTGGTGGTAAATAATTGGTTATTGGTTTGTTGTTAACTATTGAGCATTCCTCATCTGAGAGAGGTAGGAGGCAGCCTGGGAAGCCAAGTGATTACTTCGTGGTCTATAGTTGTGTTCAGTGGAAACTTCAGCTACTTGCAATTGCAAACAAGGGGTGAAAACCTAGATACATAAGATTAGTACTGCAAACAGGAAAGCAAGTAGTACAAGGGATGGAGCATCTGGGAAAGATCAAACCTGATAAGAATCTGTTCTGTAGGAGGCAGAGGGGCCACCTGAAGGTAGTTTCCTCCAACAAGAATGCATGGAATGGACTTTAGGTTCTTGGTTATAAATTGGAGCAACTAATTGTTCATCTTTGATGCTGAATTATTGATTTTGTCATGTCTGGAGCAAGGACACTGATTAGATATATGTCAGGTAGAAACAAGGTTGGCAGTTGATGGTTTTGGAAGTTTCTGTGTTGACAGGCTGAGCTCAGTGTGATGAAACTGGAGCAAAACCCAGAACTCAGAGAAGGGCATGGTTCCTTTGTAGGTCTCATGCATAAATTCATTCTGATTTGGAAGGCAAAGCAGGCCACTCCTTTTTCAGTCATCCGGGCCACTGTAGATTATCTTTTGATGTACTTGGCCCTGGAAATTGTCCAGGGGATACATGCCATCTCCCCTTTGGCAGAATCATGGATTGTCTGTTTATTCTTTACCAGCGATCTCAGACGTTTTCACCAAGGCTATATAAGGAACAAGACTGAAGACTTTGCATAGGTCTCGCTGTAGGCTTTTATGTCATTTCAGAGAAAGCTATGTGAGGTATGTTGTTCCTGAATTGTGACTTGTCAGGTCTGATAATCAGTGTCCAGAAGCCTGAGCTGAGTGTATGGCCACCCACAACATGGCACAAACATGGTGCTAGTACTGCACACCACAAAGGCCTGCCTTGATTAAGCTTGCAGTCTGCATCTGGCCCTCAGATCATCTACTCTGGTGTAAAATGCAGCCTCTCAGTTAACTGAAAATATCACCTGTTCTGAATTTAGCATAGAGCTATGTTTGATGCATTGTCTTTCTTGCCATTCTCTTTCATGACTATAAAACTCAACAGATTCTCAAATACTGCATCTCTTGCTGCTTTTTACAGGCAGGACCATTTATCTTTCTGATAGAGACATCCGAGTTGCTCAAGACCAACGGAAAAGGTCACAATATGCCATGTTCCTTTCCCAGGACTTTGTAACATGCACTTAGTCTTTTAGACAACTCAATTACATTAGACCAGGCCCTAAAGGTCATAGCAAGCTACCAAGAAACTCTGGGCTAGGCAGAGAGTGGGCTACCGTGGGATATGCGATGTGACGTTGGTCTTGTGGCCTGGCTGTGACTGTATCTGGCTGTTCCAGATGAGCCTTGCATCACTCTCTCCTAGTCCTGCATTCCAGGTCATGTGTCCTCCCTAACTGCCCCGTATCTCCGCATGTGTACGTCAATGTGATGGCCTATGCTGCCCCTTTCCTGGTCCATACCTAGTGCTGCCACAGTGTCCTTAGCTTTGGTAGAATTTCTGGCTTGTGTGCATCAGTAAATTCTGTGTTGTCTGGTGAGTGACTTAAAAATGGGACTTGTAAGGTGAAAATAAAAATTAACAAGTAGCAAGAGAATCTGTTCCGGCAAGATGGGGGCAAAAGGGGGCTGGTGGCATCTTAATGTCATGGCTGGTGTGTATGAGTTCTCTGCTGCCATTTGCAGCACCAAGTGGTCACCTGGTACTCACACGCAATATTCCCAGAAATATCAGGTTTGCTGTTCTGAGGCCTCAGTTGCTGCATGGCAAGTGTAGCCAAGTGGTAGTTGAGGACAACAGCCTGTGCCAAGGTGAGAAAATGGCTGCATGGATATTGTAAATCCATGCTGGGAAAAGGATTTATTTCAAGAGGAATGATGTATTGCAGGTCTGTCCTGAATAAGTACTGATCCTTGCTGCTTTTCTGTGCTGTGGTCTGTGTGAGATGGTTTGCCATATGGGACTAAGGGAGGTATTGTTGTGTATAACCTCAACAGCCCCATTCACTGTTGCACTCTCTGCTTGAAGAAAACACAGGTTTCAGAGCAGGGTGAGTAGCTAAAAAGATGGGAAGACTTTCACCCTTCATACTAAAGGAACCAATTCATCTCCACTGCTGCTAAAAAGAATTCATCTTTGTGGAAATGGATTGGGAGTTGTGTCTGGGAGAGAATCAGACTTTCCCTCAAACTCTGTATGTCCGCAAGATTTGTGACCTGGTTTGTACTTATCCAAATCTCTCTATTCCCTAGCACGTCTGCTAAGCTTGGCCATGCGTGTCTGCTTGGGCTTTGTTCATGGGGCTGAGATCTCTGCTGGCAGAAGTCCACTGATGGTTGAAGACTTGCTTTGGGAAAAACTTGGCTTGTTGTCTCTGAAGCCTCAAGTGGTGGCTGGGTGTGTCCTCCGTGACATGACGGTGCTTTATGGGTTATTTGGCTCCAGTGTAATGGGGACTGTTTTCTGCATGGCTTTTACAAAGAATGCTTTGTTGTGCTGCACTTTGCAGCTCCTTCCGTCTCAGGCCGGAAAAATTTCTCTGTGGATGGAAAATCTAGGAAGCAGTGAAGAGCTTGTTCTACAGTCCCGCTGGGGAATCCAGAAGCCCTGCTTGGCCCATCTGTAGAAGACTTAGGATGATGCTTGTTTCTCATCTTTGGGATGCAACTGGAACTGTTCTTTTTCTAGGAATTTCTTGATTTCCAGGGTATGAAATGTCCTGTGTTTTGTGTGCAGGACTAAGCTTCAGGTGAAGCAAGAAACAGATGCACCAGACTATTAGAAGTTGGTCTGGGACTGTGTGCAGGCTGGAAGGAGTTACTGTGCCAGTAAGGGGCAGTTTTCCCTTTGCCTCCTTGGACACATGTGCATCAGGAACAGTGCCCAGGGACAACTTTGCAGGATTAATGCTCTGAGCACTCTGCTCTGTACTTGCCTCCACCCCTATGGTGCCCCAAGGCATCCTGGCTTCCAGTCCTTCCTCTCCTTTCAGGGCTGGAGCAGGGAATCTGTTCTTCATTCTCATTGTTGACTTGCCAGGCCCTTGGTGTTCAGGTTTCTGCTTCCACACTAGGCCCATGATAACTGCTGAAAATCAGATTTAGCTTTGCTGGAAGCTGTGCATTGTTACGGTGGTTTCTCATTCTTTCTTTACCCCTTGCTGCCAAGACCACGTGAAGTCCTTAACTCCCCATAATCTCTGGCACTTTATCTGCAGGTGATGACAAATATGGAAGAAAAGTCATTTTGTTCAGTGCCTGCCGGATGCCTCCAAGTCATCAGTTAGATCACGTGAAACTGCTGGGGTAAGTAGAGTCTTAGTAGGATGCTGTTAATTTCTTAAATCTGACCTAATTCTCAGCTGTTGGATTCCTGGGGACAGATCTGCAGTAGCTTCTTTAGCTGGACATGTCCTCCCAAGTGCTTACCTCCATTACTGGAGATGCAAATCCTCTGTTATGGCATACAAAAAGAGTCCCAAAGGGAGGAAGAGCCTCTCTGTAGCAGAGCACAAAGCGAATTCATCAGTTCTTTCTTCTCAGGTACCTGAAATTCACACTGGACCAATATGTAGAGAGTGATTACACTCTGGTGTACCTGCACCATGGCCTGACCAGTGAGAACAAGCCATCCCTGAGCTGGTTGCGGGATGCCTACAGGGAATTCGATCGCAAGTGAGTAAAGCTGCAGCAATCAAGGGCATTATGTGCTGTTCTCTAGCCTAACATAGAGGATCTTTCCCAGGCCCCCTGTGCAGCTTGCTGATCATAATTTACCGTCATTTATTCTCCTGCTTAAGGAGGTGGATTGTTGTTTAATGCAGACTGAATCATAGGATAAACAGCGCCTTCTGTAGTTACATCCTTTAAGCCAACAGGCAAGAAGCAAACCCAGGACCTGGTGCAAGTGTGTCAGCCCCATGGTATAATTGTAGGTTCCTGGATAGGCTGCTCACTGCTTCTATGTGAATCCTGGAACACAGGGTAGCATGTCATTAGGCTGCTGAGTGGCCTGACACAGCTACGGAGCATGGAAGAGCAGAGGCCAGGTGTGCTGGGGCGTGGTGAGGCTCAGTGCAAAAAGGATGAAGCAACCAGGGTGCCTTAATCATGTGGAAAGGTTAGTTCCTCTGCTTAAAGTACAGCTCGTCATTACTGGGCTTCTCTTGACAGGTACAAGAAGAACATCAAAGCCTTGTATATTGTGCACCCAACCATGTTCATCAAGACCTTGCTGATACTCTTCAAGCCTCTGATTAGGTAGGAAGGAAGCATTATTGGAGGCTTACCCACATGCTCACACTGCAGGGGAACAGTGGGGCATTCTCAGAGGGGCACAAGCTGAGCCCAGGCTGACAAGCCTATCCTGGAGTCTCTCACCTTTTTTTATCTCCTCCCATTTCTGAGCTCAGAAGTACTCACACACCAGAAATACCTCTTTAGAAAACTACAGTTTTCTGTGCAAACTAGAGTTTGCAGCTCTGTGATACTCTTTTTCTCTCCAGCCAAGTTGAAGTAAAAAGTTGCAGGCTCTGCGACTCAATTTTTAAATTTATTGTGATACTGAAATCATAAACTATTAAATAATTGGGAGTAAAATCTTCTCAAGCCTACTGCTGAACACAGGAAAGAGAAATCCAGAATTTGAGGGAGCCTTCTGCTGCTGGGGCTTCTAATGTACCTTGGAAAGTCTTTGGATCTCCTGATAAAATAGCTGGAGTGGCAGAATGATGGGTGACATTTCTGCTGCTCAGCCATACCTCCCCTTTGCCCCACTGATGTTTCTTGCAGCCCCCTGCTCTTCTTTTCTGTAAGAAGTCAGTTCTGTTACTGGATTTCCCAGTTCCTCACATTATCTACCTTTCTCTTGTTTTTCAGCTTTAAATTTGGACGGAAGATTTTTTATGTGAATTACCTTAGTGAGCTGGAGGAGTATGTGAAGCTGGAACAGTTGGGGATCCCAAGCCAAGTGCTGAAGTGAGAATACTGCCTCTCTCCCCCTTGCTTGGGGCTCTGTGAGAGGAGACTTTTTGTAAATAGTGGCAAGGGAAGGAAGAGATTGTTCCACTCAGGCAGTGGTGGTTTTCCAGGGTGTGGTGACAAGTTGCCTTCAAGACTGCTTTCTCTCTGCCGTCCTTCCTGTGTGTTCTTGGCCCCCAGTCCCCAGTTCTGTGTGAGATAAAAATCCTCCCCCAGTGGAGCACCAATGTTGTATCTCCCACTCAGCCCCCTGGGGACTTTCTGCAAGATACTGACCGTAACACTGACCTGGAGCTCATGGTGTGCATCTGCTGTTGTCTGGGCACCTGCTTAGCTCATTTTGCACTGTTCAGCTTGTCTTTAGGGCTTCCCAAAGTTGCCATAATCTCAGTCCTACCAGATTGCTTCCCTGTCCCACACCCACATATGCATCTGTCTCATCACAAGCAGTGCTGTCCTGGCCTCCTGCCCACGCTGTTACTCAGCTACTCCAACTCTTGATTACAAATAGATACTCCTTTTCTCCCTTCTTTTTTTTTGCAACCAGATGTTTGTTCTTGTGCTCCAGAACTGCCTATGGTGGTTTTGCATAGGTGTAATTGACTATACTACTCTGTTGCTGTTACCAGTGGGTGTGTGGTACTGCGTTTTTGCACTTTCAAGGATGTGGAGTGGCTTTTTTACTAGTCTGTGTTTTGCTGCAGGTATGATGAATACCTGAGATCCCTGCAGAAACCTTTGCCCCAGAAGCCAATACCTCCACGCCCACCGCTGCCAAACCAGCAGTTTGGAGTCTCCCTACAGCAGTGAGTATTTCTGGACTTTGCTGCTTTTGCCCTGACTTGCTTGATATGATGTCACTATATTTATTACTGAAAAACAGCAGAAAATGGCTGCAAAATTTCTTGCAGTTCAGACTTCCTATGAAACTTTAATCATTTTCCTGGAGAACCCTGTGCTTGTGTCCAGATCCTGACTAACTCAGTTCAGTTCCACCCTCTTGATCTTGGGTTAGATTGTTTTTGCAACTTAGGGTCACTAAGGGAGGAGCAAAATAAGGGCCATAGGGTCAGCTTTATGGCACTAGAAACTTCCTTTTAAGCAAAAGAAGTCTGTAGGAGGCTGATAGGGGTCTCTTTAGGACTATGCTGCTTTGAGCAGTGCTGCAGATTTGTTAGTTGTTCTCCAAATCATAAATTCTATTTTAAAAGTACCTCTATTCACCCTTGTAGTGAATCCCACTCCCCATTCCTGCGCAGTGACAAAGGCAAACACAGACACTGGCAAGGGCTGGTGATACTGAGTAAGTGTTGAAGGTATTTTTAACTCTGAGTGTGGTTTTGCCTCCCAGGGGAATGAGGAGGAGCCAGTACTGTGTAGCTAGACACATCCTCTGAGGCAGTCTGGGAACACATTCCCCAGCTTCAGTGCAACATTTCCAGATGGTGTTTGCCCTGGTGCCGTGGTGCCTGAGCTTGTCAGCAGCCTGGGAGGGGTGAACAGCTCTAAGCTATTCAGTGGTCTGGACAATCAGATGTGAGGGTGGCACCCTGGTGTCATGAGGTATTCCCTGACAGCCATTTTGCTGATATTTGATCTTCTGTTACAGGAATGTGGTGGCCAAATTTTTATTTTTTTTTCTCATGTGTCAGCTTCTTTCTGCAATTGCTTCTATGGGAAAGGAAAAAGGAAGCGTAACCCTTTTCACCTGATTCATAACTAGCATCCTTTCCTTCTGGGAAACCAGAAACTTTGCCCTGGCATATATAGACTGAGATTTTTACAGGAGATGGAAAAATGTTCCTGTGGTCTAGTAATGAGCTCACAGTTGCTGCAGTGAATGATGGAACATGATGGGTGAAGAGGCTAGAAGGCTGGAATAATGGCTGAACCAGGGATGGGAATAGCAAGATCATATGTAGTACAGCTTGATGCGGGCAAATTTAAGACTTGGAGGCTGCATGTAGGGCAGAAGCAGTGCTGTGTACCTATCATGTATAACATGTTGTTTCTTGCTGCAGTCTCAGGGAGAAGAGCCCCGATCAGTCTGCTGTTCCTCTGGTGGTCAGAGACACCATTGCTCACTTGCTTGAGCATGGTAAGTGTTTGGGGAAGCTGCGATCCCGTATCAGTGATCTCTGTTCTGTCCAAGCTCCCATCAGGACTGTGGTAAGGTAAAGAAAAGCAGCAGTCCTAGAATAGGGTGTAAAGCCTGAACTAGGTGAGTTAGCTGTCAAGTGAGATTGTGGAGGGCTTAGGAGACCTCCTTCTTTCTGGACGAGTCCATGTTGCCATTTTGATAAAACTAACCAAATGCTCCTTGTATCCTTTGTCTGATAGTGGAAGCAGAATGGTTGTGCTCTAAAAAAGAGACTTGTTCATATCTGTCTGAATGCCCCACAGTATGGATTTATAATTGTTAAGGCCAGCATTTTTAGAGACTATCACATGGCTGATTTTTTTCTTCTCCATCTGCTGTCACTTCACAGCTCTTAATACAGAGGGGATTTTCCGGAGATCAGCAAATACACAGGTTGTCAAAGAGGTCCAGCAAAAATACAATATGGGTAAGTGCCCAAAGACATCAGAGCCTCTCTCATTCCCTAGTTACTACTGTCCAACTGCAACTGTGTTGGAACTAGTCCATCATGGATCCTCTCCTTCTCTGATAGGTCTGTAGGTGAGGTCTCATCTTGGGGTATGACCTGAGTTGCAAGGGAGAAGTATCTGGCACTTCTGCTGTGGAAAGCATATTCCTTCCCACTCATATTCCACTTACTACCCTTTTTTTTCCTGAAAGTTTCCCTGTTTCATGGGGTGTGACATACCGTCTTACTCTGGTTATACTGAAGGAACTTAAGATGACCAGGATGAAACTTAGTCATGTTTCATTTGATGACGTTTAAAGATGTAGTGCTGGATTCAGCACTGCTTTGTATATGATTTTGGAACATATTTTTCCACTCTGCTAGAAGATGTGATAGTTGAGGATTCTGTGTTCTTTAAAATACCCCTTCCTTAGTTTTGGGTTCTGACCATCATGTCCTGTCCTTTGTCTGGAGGAGGTGCTGCTTTGGCCCGTGAGCACTGAGTCTCTGCTCTACTTTCTCAGGCGTGCCCGTAGATTTCCAGGAGTATGAAGATGTCCACCTCCCTGCTGTGATTCTCAAGACCTTCTTGAGGGAGCTACCTGAGCCCCTCCTCACTTTTGGCCTCTACAGCCATGTTGTCAGTTTCCAGAGTGAGTTGTGACGAGTGTGCTACTCCCTGAATGTTGCACTGGCTAAAGGCAAAAGATGTCTTAGTGGGGACATGCATGGGATACCTTGTGACTGCCAAGAGGGCCTTCATCAGGATGGGTGCTGAGGATTGTCCTGTCTCTCTTGATTTTTAGGTGTGGAGGAGGTGAAACGCGTGGATATTGTTCGCAAAACGCTCCAGGATTTGCCAGAAGAAAACTACCAAGTGCTCCGTTTACTGACCGCCTTTCTGGTGCAGGTGAGCACTAGCCTAAGCACTTGGTTCTCATAACACTGAGAAGTGCAATCAGGCCTTCAGCCTAAAAGGTGAAGGCATGCAGCCTGTGTGTTCTATACCAGAAAGGCTGAAAGCTCCCCAGGGTGAAGGTAGAGCTACAAAGTAGCTGAGTAGAAGACAGGTCTCAGATCTGCTTTACAGTACTTCCTGCTGCCAAGGAAGCCACTGCAAGGCCATTCAAGCAAGAGGGAAGATCATGAGTGGTGATCTGGACTTGTAGAGACATTATCTGACAGTCATCTTGGTCCTGTTGTTATGATATGGCCTAACCAGCTTTTCTCCTCTCATTATCTCTGTGAGTCTGTCAGCTCTGGATTTGAGGAGAGTAGAGGGCAGCTGCTGTGTTATTCTATACGATTCACAATGGTCTCTTTCCTTCCCACATAGGTCTCTGCTCACAGCGACAGCAACAAGATGACAAACACCAACCTGGCAGTTGTGTTTGGCCCAAATCTGCTCTGGGCCAAAGATGTGGCCATCACTCTAAAAGCCATCAATCCCATCAATACCTTTACCAAATTCCTGCTGGACCACCAGAAGGAGCTGTTTGAGGCTGCGGAGGCCTGAATCCAGGCCAGCCCACACCTGCACACTGTGCCCACCTTCCCCCTTCTTTGTCTTGGAGCTGTGACCAAGCTGTCTCCAGTACAAAGGGACCATTGATCTTCTGGGTGATGAGCAGAGTGAGGGCTGTGGAGATGATGGTGAAGGTGTGCAAGTAAGTGAGCAGGAGACCTGCAGCTCTGGATGGGCAGGGGAGCTGGTCTCCCAGCTGCTGAGACTGGAGTCCTAACCCACCTGTGCAGCTCCTCCAGGGCTCATCACCAGTCTTCTGCCCTATCAGATGACCTGCCTTCCTTTCCTCCCTTCCTTACGTGCCGTTTTTCTGCCCTCCTGGTCCCTTCCTCAGCACAGATCTTTTTGTTCAAGCTCCCAGTAGCCCCAGCTCACCCCTCCTTGCCTCCGCTGGGCTGTCTGGGCTAGGGTGGACTTGCTGGTTTCTGTGGTGGAGACATTCTTACTGTGAGTGCCGTTTCTCAGCACTGAACATGCATCCTGCCTTTCCCCAGGAGCACCTAAAGCAGGGAAAGGAGCAGCAGCCCTTGTGCTTCAGGTAGCAGCATGTCCTGCATTTGCAAACACCACTCTAGACCCCCTGCTTCTGGCAGGCAGGTGAAGGACAGGCTCACTGCAGTGGGCTATTACCTGTCAGACTCCAAAACAATGAAGGTGAGTTTAGCCCAAAGCCCAGCCCCTTGGGGTCACCTACTCCAGGTACTATTCAGTGTTTGCTGGACTGTAGTGGGTGACTCGCCTCCTGTAGCTATCTAGCTCAGGTGTGTTTGTCCCTCCAGCAGCGCTTCCAGCCTGGCTGGGAAGGTTCGTGCCAGGCCTGGCTGTGCATGCAGGCCAGCTGTGACCCTTTGACAGCTGGTGAGTCTGAATGGCAGAAGTGAGTGCCTTGGTGGCACTGAGCTGCTGAACACCATGAGGATCACAATCTGGCCTGGCAGCAGCACAGGGCATCCTCTTCTGGCATATGTATCTGTGCGGACTGGCACAGACCAGCTTGACTAGTCAGTTGTCTTTTTGAGCACAACTTTCCTCAGCACAGTGTAACAGAGCATGGCCTTGAGGGAAGGGGGACTGGGGTTAACCCTCATCATGGAGTGCACAGGGCCTGGATTGCAAATTTCTGCCCAGGTGCTGAGTACTCATGTGCCAAAGCTGTGAGGTAACAGCTATTCCATGCCAAGGGCCTTTGCCGTGTCTCCTCCGGGGTTCATACCTTCCACCCTGCCACCTGGTCAGATGCATCCTGTATGCCCTGGGCACAGCTGGAGAGATTGTGTTCTCTGCAAGGCAGGCTCAGAGTGGGGTGGTCCTGGCACCTCCCTGGAGCAACTGCAATACTGTTACAGCATCTCTTTTGGGTTTGGGTTGCCTCATTCCCATTACCTGAACTGAAAGAGATCCTTCTCCTCAGCCTGGGCCTGTCAGGGTTTTAGGAGGGAGCTTCTAGCCTTACTTCACTGGTGTGATTTATCTTTGTGTCTTGTGCCCTGTGTGCCTGGGCCAGACCTCCCTGCTGCATCTGGCCTCGGGGACAAATCTTTTGGACCAAGCAGAACTGTTTTTTTAAAAGCTACTGGATGCTAAATAGAATTTGCTTTTTCATAATATTTTAACCTGCCTTTAAACACTGACCAAGGGTCGGTGCTCTGGTGTAATCAAAGTGGCATCTGCTGCAGGAATTAAGGAGACTGCTTTTTGCTAAACTCTGGAATGGGGATGGGTGCAAACATAGGCAGCTCTGCAGGGCGGCTAGGTCCAGCCAGCTGGCCTGGAGGAGGCACACCCACATGTGGGTGAGAACAGTGAACAAGAAAGTGAGCATTACTAAGGCAAGAGATGTTGTAAGATAGGACTGGATCTGATCCTTTCTAGATACTGGCAGACTTTGCCCAATGGAGGCTACCAGGCTGCTGACTTCTTCATCTCCTTCTTCCAAGAGTAGGAGCCTTCCTTGTTTGGCCAGGATATGAATTGTTTCATCCTGAACAATTCACAGCAGTAACTAAATACATATTTTTTGAGGGAGAAATAATCTGCTCCTAATTCATCTGTAATCTTTCCTAGAATGAGTTGGCAGGGCAGATGGGCTGTGGAGGAGTAATCTGGGGTGGACTAGTGTGGAGAGAGGTGTACTTTCCCCAGTGTTTAAGGGGCAAGGCTATGGAGGCTGAGGGAGTGCAGTGCAGCCCCTCTTTCCCTGCAGGTACCCTGCTCTGTGGAGGCTTTGGTAGGGGGAGAAGGAGACTTGGTGCTCTGACTGTATATGCAGCTGACACTTGCTTCTCCTTCATCTCCCTAGAGGAAAGGCAAGCCCAGCTAACCTCTGGGACAAACGCCCAAGCTCGGCAACCTGGAATCCAAGTGCCTGCGTGCATGAGGCCTGGCCCTACGCACTCTCTGGGGAAGGTGGCATGTTCTGGCCTTGCACAGCAGCAAGGACTGTTCCCTGCCCAGTAGCCAGAGGAGCAGAACTGGAGTAGCTCCTCTCCAGGGGGAAAGTGGGGAATACTGCAAGTGTCTGACTTCTGGCTGGAGTTTGATGGTTTGTTTTAGGGGGTTTTTTTGGGATTTAGGTTTTGGTTTGGTTTTTTTTTTAGTGAATTCTTGAAATGATGTTTCCTTTTTTAGCAAAATAGAGGCTGGTTCATCCCCTGCAGGCAGGGATAAAAGCCTGCTCCGGTTCAGTGCCTGCAGGGAGCAGATTTAGAGTGTTCAGGGAGCTACTACTGCTCATGGTGGGAAAGTGCTTGCAAATCCTGGAAGGGACCCACTGTAAATATCCCCTTTCCTCTACTGCTCCTTGTGCTGGAGCTGCTGAGGGCCCTGGAGCAGGCACAGTAACCAGGGTTGCTTTTGCAGTCTGTTCTCCTGAATGCCTTGTATTGAAATATTCCTCCTATGATCTGAGCAAGGAACTGGCCTGGGCCTGCCTACAGCCTGTGTCAGGTGGGTGGTCACCAGAGGCTGCACTTGCCAAGGCCAGGGGGTTAAATTCCCTCCTCACATGGGCAGGGTCCTGGCTGGGCTGGGTTCCTCTGCCTCGTAGAGGTTGGGGGTGGTATACAGTTAAGGTGCTGGTCTTTTGTTGGTTTTCTCCTTGCTGTAGAGCTGCCCAAGGGTCTCTTCCCTGGCTTACCTTTCAGGTTAGCTATTAGCCATTTCTTCCTGGGGGGTACCTGTCTGCACCAACCTCCTGCTTTTAGCACCTAGAACATTCCCCTCTGCTAGCCAAGCCTCCTGCTGTCTTAATGGCCTCTGTTCACTCCCTGGCCCAAGCTGTGAACTGACATGAGAACTTTTGGGTGGTGCAGGGGTTCTGGGGCCATCCAGATGCCTTGTGTGCTAACACGAGAGAGCTGAGGGCCAGTTTGGTCCCAGTTTCCTTTTATATGCACAGGGGCTCCTGTGCAAAAATTTTAGCTTTGCTTTTATTGCTGGCGTTCCCTGCCTTCTTCTTTGTTGATGTTCATGAGGTGCAGGCCTGGGTTTTCACGGTTCACACTGTTTATTTTCTTTTAATCTGCACCAATCTTGTATTTCACAGTTTGCACTTTTTGTATTTCAATAAAAATGAAAATGTAATCTCAGATTACATTGGTATGATGTATGATTTGTATGATGATGACAGGTATGTTTGTCAAGTGGCAGCAGCTGTGGCACATCTACAAAAAACAAGTAAGGCTGTCTATGCTGCAAACCACAACCATGCTGCAAGGGAGGAAAGAAAGTATGAAATGCCTCCTATGTGAGTAACTCCAAAGAAATCCTAGTTTGCAGGAGCCTTGGGATGGAAATAGAGTTTAAAAAATTGTATATATTTGGCTCTTTCCTGAAGAGGGCTATTCTTCCACATTACCGTCTTCCTGTCATGATGAGCAGTCTGCCTAGGACAGCCCAAGGGTGCCAAGTGGGAGCCACTTTAGGATTAGTTAGCCAAGTTTATCCTGTGGCCAGGTGATACACAGCAGAAGCCTGCACCTTCTTATTTCAATGTATGTGGATTGCTAACTTGAACTGGTCTGGTTAGGACCACCACACTCCCCTTAATCCATATTCAGTTCACTACTTTTTCCTAAAGACTGCAATTTGCCTGTTACATCAGTAAGCTTTTTGACTAGGATGCAAGAATTAGGAGTAGAATGGAGAGCACTGGAGCTAAAACCATCAGCATTGGGCAGCAGCCTGACTGCTGGGGTGTCAGCAGTGATGTGACAGGGTGTTAATGCTGATGTCATCACTTGCATGTCTGAACAGTGTGCTGCTTGTCAGTTTTTACTGTTCATAAACTGTCCAGTTAAGGGCTTCCCAGTTGCCAGTTCCCCTTCTGCATGTTGACATGGCCCCTATAATGGGGTCAGCATGGTTAACATGCCAACTGTACAGCAAGATCTCAAACCTCATCTCAGTGTAGCAGCTGGTCATGGCTCTGGGCTTTGTCACATTGACCTGCCTGGCACTGTGTTGTAGCAGCATCAACTCAGAGGAGCTGGAGAGCAGGCACATCTGTCCCTGACAGGGAGCTGGCACTGGCAGGACCTCTGTTATGTGCAGCCATGGGCAGTACTGAACTCAGTGTGAACACCATTGTAACTGGCCCCATGGCTTTATGGACACTGTTTGAAGAACATTATTTATAAATACATACAGTAGGCTCACAAGGTGATGTAATTTAATTGTTCATGACCTTGGTGATGAATCATACTTCCGTGATTGTTCACTTTCTCGCTTATTTGCTGATGGCTTTTCCAGTCCCTTGTCTTACTGGTGACGTGGTGTAAATGGTGGATACTGAAAGCCCTGTAGGAAGCCCCAGATTCCACAGGATGGTTTCTGTGAGTTTTGAAACTGTACCATGTAATTTTTAAGTTCATGAAATGACACTCATAAATACACACATATACATGCATATAATGTAGACAGATACAGGTTGATGTCCACAGGTTGATTGCAGTGGGATGCTCAGTCTACTGTGTTACCTTCTGAACATGTGATAAAAGCAATCTTTTCTTAATTAGTTACTCTTGTATCCCAAGCCGGAATATTCCCTTCATAGAAGCTTCTAATACACAGTTACTTTTCTTTTTTTTCCTCCCCATTCCTGCCATTTTATCCACTGTGTCTTTTTTATAATAACCAGACATCCTTTACACTGTACACAGATTTTTATAATCTTGTCTTTCCATTAAAGGGAAGGTGTTAGCACCATACCTGGCATTGTGTGTTATACAGGGTTAACTTTCATCAATACTAGAATAGAGCTGTTGAGTGGTTATTCTTTCCACATTTTATTAGTCTCTGCTATCTCTCCTGTCAACTCAAAACAGTCCTATGCTTCTTTATAGCATGTAGTAGCAACCCTGTACAATGCAAATTCTGTGGGTATATTTTTTCCCCCTTTTCCCACCCCTTTCCTCTGGAGATGAGTTAGTATTTCAGTTTCCCAATTCACTGGTGAAGTCAGCAGGATCAAACACTGTATGACACCTGTTCCTCCCACCTCCAGGCATCTGTTCTGTCTGTCCCTTCCTGTTCTTCCAGTAGGTTGATCTCCACAGGATCCCACTGACTGCCCCAACTATAATGCACCAGTCCATTTTGCCCTCTCTGATGGAGGCAGCAACTTGTTCTGTCCCACATTCACTGACAGGCTCCTGACCCTCCTGTTTCCTGGAGGAAAACAAGTATGAGCCTGGGACTGTCCCAGACCTGTTGGTACACAAAGGAAAATGCAGTGTTGCTTACATAAAAGTTTTATTGGAAATTCTTTGAATACTTGAAGTACACTGGAGACTTTCCAAAACAATACACTTGAGGAGCCTTCCCCTCCACCCAAAGTATCTGTAAATCAGCAGCTACATACTTAATGTCCTTAATATTGAGTTGAGCAGAGAGCTGCTAAAATAAACAGCCTTCATAACACAATCTGTGGCAGGCCACAGCAGCTAGATCTTTACTGAAGCAGAACATTTGTGCAGTGGCCAGGGAACTCAGAGCCCAGATGTAGCAACTGTGTGTTGAAATTGAGGACTGTCCAGACTAGAGGCAGGTAAACTCAGCCCTGGAGAATCTTATTGCTATGACCATCCAGCTCAACACTAGCAGCTTAAATAGGCAATTTTCCAGCCTTTTGAAGAGAAGAAAATGTGCTACAGTGCCATTCTGCCTTATGAGCTGTGAGAGCTGTAGCCATGTTAGGAACTCCATCAATAAAGGAGCACAAGTACAAGCCCTGACCTCCTGGGTGGGATTAACAAGAATGGCAGTGCTTCATGCCAGCTCCACAACTCATCAGCAGAAGAGCACAGCAGGAGTGCTGGCTAGAGGAAGTTTAACCTCAATTTTTCTCTATTCATATGGTGTGAACCAGCACTTCACCTCATCTCTGCTGCTCTGCAGCCCAGAAAGTGTGACTTTTAAGTGACTAAAGGTGACAACCACCTGTCTATCAGCTACTTCCTACAAAGTGGTGGACCAACTTCCTGAAAACAGGTGAGAGGCAATTGATCCATTAATTCCTTGTGTTCCTGCACCCTTCTGCAACCCTTTCCACCTGTGAAACAAGGTGGCTCTTGGATGGTGATCAAGTATTTGTTACAGCCCATCTTACTAAAGCTGTGTTACAAACTTTCATCTTGGAAGCTTTCTTAAATGTTTGTGCATCTTACTTTGCAGGGACAAAGCATTTTCCATGTGAAGTTGCTAAAAAATTGAATTGGTTGAGTAAAATAAAAAGGTTCTGGTGGGTAACTTTCCTTCAATAAAGCTCTTACCCGGAGTTTTAGAACTTAAAAGGCCTCCCACCAAACACATCTCTCAACAAAAAAATCTCATGAAGTTCAAAGCATTGCATTGCTCTGGCCTTACAGTAAGATCTGTTCTGAATTTGGCTCTGTGCTCCAGCAGTGACACAGAAATAGTGTTCCAGAGTGGAGTTTGGGCTGCCCCATCAGCTGCAGGCAATCTCTTCCAACTATGAATGCAGCTAAGCTGAAGAAGCTGCCACATTGCACCACCTAGAAGGCTGGTTACTCAGCCATTCTGAGGAAATGAAGATGATTTCTCAAGCAACTCAAGCAACACAGCTCCACTTAAGGGGAAAAAAAAATGGTTTTGGACAGTAAGGGGTCGTGCAGTTGCTCACTCTAGTTACACAGGGGAGGAGGAGAGAGAACCACAAGAAAACCCACCTTATCCAAGTTTCTGTTTAGTATCACTGTTTCTCCTCCCACCCTTACATGAGGCAGAAGACATACAACAGCCAAATTGCCCACAGAGCAATGCCAGCCAGTCACACTGTCTATGGCCGGATTCTTACAAAAATAAAATTTCAGCCACTCAAAAAGCCAGCTGATTAAAAAGTACCATAAGCTTCCCAAAAAAAGTGTGCTTCTTTAAAGAAGCTGCTTTCTGAACGGCCAAAGAACACTACAAATTCATCCATGCCTTTCAGAAAACAGCTTTTTACGAAGTCCCTGCCACTGATGTGTGCATTTCATTCTATCAGTGAGCCCTGACTGGATGCAATGGACACAGAGTCCCCAAAACAGAGTATAATATTAATCAAATCTGTTTCAGAAAATAAATATTTTGGATATTTTCCTGCAAAGAGAGACCAATCTCACTGGCCAGGATTCCATGGCACACTTGCTCTCTGCAGTGATCAGAACAGAATGACCCGCACTATAACATGAAAACGGAACATCTTTTAAATATAGGTTTCTTTAAAAGCAATAAATATTTTTTAATTCTTAAGATCATCTATTAACCATAAAGCAGGAAGGCTTGCAAGGATTAGAGGAAAAAAATCTTGGACTAAGACTCCTAGTTACATAACCCTAAAGAAATAGGATTCCTAGTATTTACAGTTACGTTTTAGAAGCAGAGGCTATGAATTCAGCATCATCACAGCTGCTAAATGCAGGCTTGCCAACAGTCAACACTGTTAAACTCAGCATGGCCGAGTGTCAGTACACTCGGGAAGGAAGTGTGGAAAGCATTCCTGTAGTTTCACTCCTGCTTATCAGCCAACTAACAGAGTGCCTTGCACAAAATCACTGTGTAGAGACCAAATTCCCTAGAAGCAGGAAAACAAAGGTAACTTGTATTATGCAGGTCCCAAAGCTGACACTTTTCCCTGGTCTCCAAGCATGCAGTCTGAAGTCAGGATGAAATGCCCAGTTCTGTGGAATGGATATCCTAGACTTCAAGCAGCCGAATTTGCTGAACTCACAGACCCTGGAAATAAACCAAAGCTTTCTATGCTCTAACAGGATCAGAGACTGTAGGAAAAAGTCTGTTAGCAAGAAGCTCTACCTAGGGAATTTACACCATAGGACTCTTGGAGAAAGCATATGGCAACTTTCCACAAAGCCCCTCCATACAGAACACAGACTGAGGAGAAAGCAAGTTTCCATATATTGGAGTTTGACTTCCTGTGTCCCTACCGAAGTCTTAAAACTGTGAGCAGGAAAAGCAGTCCTGAACTACGTGGTGGAAAAGTTGAGGAGAATCAGCAGATGAGCTGTATCTGTCATTGAAGAGAGAAAAGAAAGCTCACTTGATGGAAGGAACTAGTCAATGTGAACAAAACGC